GAGCTAAACATCACCTTAACATATATATGTCAGAGCTCTCTTTCATTGCCCTTCTAATACCCTTGAATCCCCCTTTAAATGTCAATCTTGTGCCAGCACTTAAGAGACAAAGTCAACTGCTCTCCTGCCACATCATAGCAAGCCATACTCTAAATCCAGCACCCCAAATTGCAATGAAAAGCATTTGTTGCTTGGTTTGGGGTGGAAAAACAGATGGAGAAACATCAACATTAATTAAATAAATCTTTCAGCCCCTGATTCTGCTTAGCCTGAAATAGAATTAAAAATATGCCTAGCATCACCTGTGTGGTGGCAACGTTCTGGCCACCTGCACATCCCCAGCTGTGCCCTGCTCATGCTCCAAATAAACACAGGAGGAACTGAAGTGATCAAGGGGAGACTCAGATCTTTGCACACTTAGTTCTCAGCTTGCAAGGTTCATACAGGAACGGAGGGTTCAGCCTATACATTCTCAAGGGCACAAGCACCCTGTTCCCATACAGCTGCCAACTCCTGGCCCTGAAGTCACAGCAATGTTTTCAGCCCCAGGAAACCAGTGACTTTGGAGAGCATCTGCACCACAGACAGCTCTTGGCCTATGCAAAGACTGAATTTAATTGAACAAGCTAACACCAAAATTCTGTGAAAAAAGTCCATCTTCAACTACCATCCCAATCTGGCAGGGCAGCAGAAGAAGTGCCTGTTTTAAGATCGTGCTTAATCTTTGCTGAACATGAACTGGATACTTCTGAAATTAAACACTTGCTTAAAGGAACTGTTAAACTGGGGTGCAAAAGTAAAAGACAAGGCAAATCCTCTTACAGCTCTGGCTCAGAGAAGCAGAAAAGTGTATTCAGCTATAAAAGTAAAGTCACTGAAAAAGCTTCCTTATTTGAGAGGCACCACAAAGACTACAGCCCAGACTTCACCAATTACTTATGTAAAATCAGAACAATAGCAAGTGATAATCACAGACTGCAAAACATTCACAAAACCCTTCTGCTACCAGTGAGTTATTCCTCATGTGTGCTAATTAAATCAGTTTAGTTTTGGAAATACAAACTTGTACTGACTAACAATTTCACAGACTGAGCCACCTGGACGTTACCAGGAGATCTGAAGCAATAGCAATCCCAGAGCTCTGCAGAAGTGCTTTAGAGCAATAAGTAGAGAAACCAGCAAAACTAAAACTAATGTTACAGTAAAAAACTCCAAGACTGTTACAAGTCTGAAACTTTTCTTTGCAGGGATTAGAAAGATGGAAGTCATTTTTTTTTAATGGGCTTTACTTTCTCTCACTTCCCTTTTTCAGGGGACGTAAATCACTCTCAGCTGTGAAGCAACTACAACCATTTGGCTTCACTGGGGAGCGAAAAATGTTACTAGACAGAAATGAAATCAGAAACAAAATCAGCATTTGTATGTTTTACAAGGCAGCACTTCCAACTTCTCTGCAATTCCGCACGCTCGCTGTGTCTTGGAGCCATTTTCCTCGCTGCCGTGCAGAGCACGGCAGAACATGGAGCTGGCAGGGGGATTGTGTTACTACACCGACTGCGTTGGAAAACATCGACTCCTGCATGCTGCAGCTGTCCTGCTGCACAGGCCAAGTTACTCACACAATACTCACAGAGTACTACCCGCCTGCTTAATAACTGTGCTGCCTCTTCAGAGCCAACACGGAGCAGCCAGCACTGCCCAACTCGAACACTGGGCAAACAACAGGCTTCAACCAAGGGACCCTTCACTTTGGAACTCGCTCCTACCACACTCAGAAATTGTTGAAAGTCAGAGAGGGCTATGCAAACGGCCTGGCTTCCAAAGATTTTTCATTCAAGTAATGATAACTTCTTTAAATTATAGTTAAAAGTTGTCTTTAAATTTGTATTTAAAAAAATAAACAACAACATACGTTAAGCAAGGTGCTAACAAGCAAACAAGAATGCTCTTAGAAAAAAGCTTATACACATACTTTTATATATATATAAATACTGTAATTTATGAATCTTTATTTATATTTTTTCCCTATAAAACTCCTGCCCTTCTGCACTATCCTATCCCATTTGCACCGCAGGACAATATTTGCTGTGCAGTTTTCATTTCAAAGGTAAAACAAGCACCCTCAGGAATGATACACAACCAGTGACTGTTTATTGGTGGTGAATATTTATTTTCTTGTATGAATATTTATTAATGAATGCTACTGCCAGCACCCTGCTCTCCATCTCTGGTGACCTACACGATCTCTATCACAGCTCCTCAGTTTAGTGTTGACAGAACCAGCCCACACACCTTTCCTGTCTGACGATGAAGAGCCAGAGCACAAGCTCAAGACTAAAGAAAGGAATACCTGAAGGGTTACAGAATTTAAATAGGAAACATCTTTCTTTTTTTTTTTTTTTTCATAAAGAACTGCTACAGCCGAAAAGAGAAAGTTCATCTGATAAACAGAAATACAAAATGTCACCAGCGTAATTAGTTTCTGAGAAAAATATTTACATTGCAGCTGAATCAAGCTACTTGCAGCCGAACCACAGCAAAACTGCAACAAGGGAGAATGTTTTGTGACTGCTCTTTAATGGTTGTATCCTAATTACGGCAAAATTTCACCCCTTCCCAACGCTGGCTGGGAGAATCATTGTAAAATGCAGGGTCCTGCGAATTAGCAAGAAAGAGAACAATAAATTCCCCCCCAGGATAATGCATCACAAAACATGCTGCATTCATTTATTTGGCAAAGTGCAGTTTAATTACTTGTTAAAATAATGACTCCTTTGTAGGGGCCCTCACTAACATGCGTTGCTGCTCTGTATTTTGCTGAGTGGGACGAGCTGTGTGCCAAATTTGCGTGCATGGATTATACAGCGTGCGCATAAGCAGAGGGCAGAAAGGAGGTTGTACAGTGTCCTTTGTGTTTTGACAGCACATAAATGACACACACTCTCTTCACGGAATTTGTCTGCTTTTCTGTGTTTTGAAACTCTGTATTTCTCCTCTCCATAGGGATTTTCAAGCCTCAATCCCATCTTATTGCAGAAAATGCTCAGCGCAATAAAAAAACCTCTGCTGGGGAATCAGGATGTGCCCATTTTGCAGTCCAGTGTCACACAGTGCTCCCACTGCTCCAGTCAGCCCCAAGGTCATACCAGGGTGCTCCACCACCATCTCACCCATTGAGAAAGGGGACTATGATTTTCAACATCCACAGATTTCTGTCTGTAGGGCCTAATGGGAATAGGAGGGGTTTTACTGTCATGGGACTTGCAGCATGGCTGTCAGATGTTTATACATTATACTTCCACCCAGCAGTCCAATAGGAAAACAAACCATAATTAACAGTTCAAGGATGTACTAAGAAGAAGAGGAGTTGGGATCCTGACGGTAACATTACTGAAGTTGTTTGTGTCTTATTTTCAAAGACATACTGTAAAGGTCACCAGAGAAATCCCATGAATTGCACCAGCAGTATCCATTAAAGGCAATGGCACAGGGCAATGCCATGGAATCCCAGAACTGTTCTTTTTTCATTCTACTGAGTAAGAACTGCCATTCCAGTACTGGAGCCAGTTGTGAAATACTCCACCAAATGCATGAATAGCTGTTGTAATAGTTTTTTTACTTCCTATTTCTACTTAAATCACCAGCTCTACTCACGTTCAGGTTGCAGTATTTGCTTTGAGCTCTATAATCAAGTTTTGGCCGACTTAATCTTCTTGACAGTATGTAAAGCCTGTTAACATGGTTAGTCTCACCTTGGAGAACTTTGCTGCAGTTATAGGAAGAATTTGCTTGTTCCATTTTTAAAAGATAGCCTGTGAGAGAGTTCTGTTTTCACAGCATGACTGTTGAACACGATGGAGAAAAAAGTAACACTGTCATTATCCATGTATTAATACCAGCCAGGGTGGCAGAAGGTTAGGGTATAGGTCCTATCCCATCCTGCACCTTCTCCTTCACCCCCATATTTCATATGGTTGGCTGTATTTAAAGATGACACTTCAATGCACTCACTCTACCAACACAGATCATATTTTCTCCACCCAACAAATACACAAAGCAGAATAATGTACAGCTCGTAATGGAGAAACTGTGCGTGATAATGTAGACAACACAGGACACTCCTAAACATGACATTGAGTCACTCAACATAAACCCCAAGTATCTGAAAATTCGATTCAGAAAAACAAAGTTAATAACAAAGCTTAAGAGAACCAGGCATCAGAATAACACACACGGAGACCAAATCTTTTCTCCTCTACAAATACCCCCCTCGGGACTTCTTTAAGCTCTTTGTCTTTATTAGACTCAGCTATTACAGCTAGATCTCCAAACATTTGCTATTCAAAACTAACTTGCAATCTTCCAAAGGATTCCTTGTAAAACAGTGCAATAAATGCTCATGCCACCAGCTCCTTGCTGTGTATTGTAAGACCCGGCTGCTTCTCAGGACCACTTACAAGAGAACTGTTTTCTGTTAAATATTTGTATTAATTCTTACCTAATTTTTTTTTACCTATACTGGTATATATCTATTTTCTACAAGAAGCTGCCTTATTTCAATACAATGATCATTATTTTGTTTAACTAAAAAACTCCGTGTCTAAAAAGTAAGAACACAACAGTCAACCACCACAACACCTGCTATACCCCCTTCTTTTGGGCAGCTGTGCTTGCTCAAAGAAAAGCTTTTTCATTTGTGTTTGCATAAGGTTTGTCTTAATTAGTCAATATTACAATGACTCACTTTGGGTCTTACGAGACAGCTGGAAGCAGAACACTGTGCAACACAAAAGGAGAACATAACAATATTATTGCATTTCCCCTAACCCCTCAGGACCTGCCCCCATTGCTGCTAGCAAGAGAGGTAAAAGCAAAATTATATAAAAATTGCCTTCAAGGGTGGAGTATAGCCCTTAGACACTATTCAGGGATAATGCACAGCAAAGCCAAGTATGGCAGAGAACAGAAAACCAGCAGAGGAACCAGCAAATCATCCTTACTCTGTCAAGAGCTGGTGCAGCTTCTGGTAGCCCCTCTCCAAGGCCAAGCTCACGGGCGTTGCCCCCTCGTTGTTGTGGATGCTCAGAGCTCCTCTTCCACCCGGCTGCTGGAGCAGAAACCACGTCAGCCGCAGCAGACCCAGCCTCACCGCAAAATGCATCAGTGTCTCCCGAGGGATGTTCTCTGGGAAGGGGGGAAAAAAAAAAAGGAAAAGGAAAGAAAGAAATGGGAATTTGTAGGCTGTGGGTTAGGGGAATGTTGTATCCCCACCTCCCAGCCCTACCACACACGGCGGCTGGCATGGAGCTGACAGCCCGAAAGCCAAGGAACCTGCAACACCTGGAAAAACACTCTGGCTGCCAACATCCAGGAGACACCAGTATTTTAAAGCAAGGGACAGGCTACAGTGGGACTGGAGGTGCTCAGGACCTCTCACGGTGAGATTGACCACAGAAGTCAATGTGAAAAACCCACCACTTCCTAAACATCCACAGCCACCACCAAGATGCAGCATTTCCAAACCGGAGCATGGTCAGATGGGCTTTCCTAGATGCCCAAGCCTTCTCCTCACAAACCCAGGACCAGGCTTTAGCGACGGACAAGTTTTGCTATCTAATAGCACGCTGATTTGCCCCAAGGCATGGGAAAAAAAAAAATCAATTACATTTGAAGCATAAATCCAAAGCAGTTATAAAAAGAGAACCGTTTAAAAACTCATATAGACAAAAAAAAAAAAAAAAAAAGCAAGGGTTTTCTTTGCCTCAGACCAACTTTTCTCAGCTTTATACAGTAGCTCTGTCGTTCTGAGTAGAAGCATTTATAAACTCCCAATTTCTGCTGCTGCTTTTTGCGTTTAATAACCGTGACCTTCTAATTTGGTAAAAGTCACTCTTGAGCCTGAGCTTTCATCTCAGAAAAATATCCCCCTACTCCAAAAGCTGGAGCCCTAAAACGATGCTCTGAAAAGCTTTAACCAGAAATGAGCTCCAGATGCACTGCTGAAATCCAGCATTTGCAGATCAAAGCCTGTTATTTCTGTATGAAGGGTAAAAGCAATCGGGTTAAAAAAACTGTGAGAAATAAAAATTTGTTCTTTTAATTAACAAAGGATTTCATTATTGACTGACAGCAACAACAACAAAAAAAGCACCAACTGGGTCTCAGAAAGCCATGCCAATGAGCACACTTTGTATAAACCCTTTAATATCACAGCAATGATTTATTGGGTTATTAATTTGGGTGCCAGCCAAACCTATATATCAAGTTTTAAAATGTATGTACAAAATGGCTTTAGGATTTAATTTTGTATTTTTTCCTTAAGAACTGTGCCCCCCAAGAGAAATCACTTCTTCAAAGTGCTTTTGTTTTTCCTGCTTACTTACTTTCTTTAGGGACATCATTAAGACCTTCAGTGAAAAACAAAACAAACCAAAAAGGGGCAGTTCTTCCCCGTCTAGCACACGATTTTTCCCAACTTTTTGGATCAGTTCCTGAAGAACTAATCTGTATGCAAGAACCAAAGGCTTTCTGGCACTGTTTCTCTTCCGAATGACTCCAAATTAGGTCTCTGGGCTACAAACCAATCCTTCCCCCCAACCTCCTCTTGATTACCGTAAAGCAAAAAAACTATGCTGCCTTGAATACATGAGAGTGTCTGAATGGGAGTTCCAGCTGATGGAAGAAAAAGAGAATAGCTGAGCTCTCTCAGAGACAAATTCTCAGCCTTTGGGTAAATAATGAGAAGGATTTTGGTATTAAATGTTACAGAGTGTAATGATTTCAAAATAATACAACGAGGAATTTAATCAATGTTTTCAGCCCTGGATTTAAAGAAAAAAGAAAAGTAAGACACCATATAAGCATAAGGGAAAGGCTACTGATGAGGATGCAACATGAATAGGGTAGATACAGGTAGGACTTACCCAGAGTGAAAGTAAATGCCTAAAGTTTCACTTAATGAACTTGTACATGTTCAAAGCTCCCACATTACCTGTACACTAGCAAAGTCAGCATAATTAATGTGCTACAATTCTTCCTACAGAGATGTAGGAGGCACAAAAGCACTTCTGTTAGAGCACATGGCATGCCATTTAAATAAAGCACGTGTTGCACTGGTGTGACCACACCTGTTCTAGCACAAGATGTCTTGTTCTAGATTTTTTTAAAGGAAAAACATTTTCTTAATTAATGCAGTCAGTCTTGCACCAAATCTGAGCAGCTTAGAGCTATAAAGCATAAGCACAGACCCCTAAACCAAAATGCTTTTTCCTCCTGCAGCTGAGAGCCCTACCAATACGTAGAAGCATCTTCTACTCACCAACTCACGGCTCACCACTAAACACACACATCAACTGAAAATTCTGCAAGATGCAAATAACCATCCTGTCCCTGAGCCAAATGGGTACCCCTCTCTGTCTCACATGTCCACACATGAAATGCCCCCTCCTGCTTGTCCCAGTCTGTTCATGCAACTTCCCCTTCGTATTTTCCTTATTCTTTCAAAACAATCTTCTTTATCACCAAATTAGTTGGCACAGCAGCTCCAGAGTTTGGATGGAGATGTCTGCAAACGCAACTGAACTGAATGTGGCCCTGCCCCAATGCCTTGGAGCGAGGACAACGTGCACAGAAGATCTGTACAAGAAGACATGGCGTGTTGCCACCGGAGCATATTAAACATACAAGCTCACTATCCAGGCCCATTTGGAAGACTCTGCCTAACATATAAACTGGCACGAGGCCACCCTAACAGATGGGCACGGACGATGGCAGCAAAGAGACAAAGTACTGTACATCCAACAACTGCAGGGGCCCCAGGCGGTGGCTTTAGAAGGTTCTGGAGTGCGCAAAACTTGTATGGCTGCAGCTAAAAGAGGCGTGTGTCATCTGTGGGCTGGATTAACTACTAATACATAATGAAGAATACATCTGTTGGTGTAGGGTGTTGCTCATAGTTAGACAAGAGCTGGTCTGCATCAGGTATGGGTGTTTTGCTGGATGGAGACGGGAGGAAGACAGACAGATCCCTTCAGACTTCCTACCTTTGAAGGGATGAAGTTTGTAACATAAAATGTTGAAAATTTAGTCAATGATTTTAAGATCTTGCCATGGTACAAAAATGCCATGTCCCAGACATGGAAGAATATCAAAAACTTTAAAATGCAATAGACAGACTCCTTCTACCCTGTACCAAGCATGAGCTCCTCATCTTAAAATGGCTGTCGTTTGAATGTAAACAAAAAGCTTCTTGTAATTAGGAAACTGTGGAAATAAAAGACTCATGATACTGAAAAGGCCAAGGCTGTTTTGTTCCCTTCTTGTTTCCTAGTAATAGGCAAGAGTTGAAACATATGATTATTGCCCCATAATGGCAGGGCACTCTAATCCAGCTGGCAAAACACAAGACTTTAGATATATTATTTTTCAGTAATTCTTTTCTGCTGTGATACACGAACAGACAGTTTATCTGTGCAGCTGAGGACAAAATTTCCATAGAAGACTATCAAATGTACTTTGTTAATAGTAAAGGATTAAGGTTTAAGGTGCTCCTAGGACAAAACAAGTAAGCACTGAAGATAAAAAAAAGTTTGGGTATGACACACACAAGAACACTAAGTAAAACTTTCATTTTAATCACTGTTCCTTTTTTAAAATCACTTATATAGAGAGTAACCTATACCTAACTGCTCAGTTTATCCAACATGCCCTGAGACATATCACAATGGAACAGCCAGCCATGGAATGGGTAGCACTGCTTGCCACTCTTCGTGTGCTATTGACCTTCACTTGCTTCTCACCCCCAAATCACGTATAGTTGGCAATTATGAAATCTGCCATCAAATCTGGCCTCAAAATCTTCCTTTTCTGCTGGAAATGTTCTCACTGCTCAGATCAATCCTTGAGAAACAAGGGTGAAAAAACCCCAGAAACAAGCTGCCACCTAACGCCGAGGTCCTATGGAAAGGCTCCAGCAAACAACTGCACTGAAGAAGGTCAAGGCAAAGATGTTGTGTTTGGAGCTACGAGGTCAGTTAATAAAAGATGTGTGGGTAATTCTTTTCTTAATCTGATAAACAAGAAATTTTTCAAAGCACACCAAAAGATCTTCATGTCCCCATTCCAACTAATATCAAAGGGAACAGAAACATTCTCATGCCAACAATTTCTCAGCCACAACTAAAACGGTACATCTCAGTCCTGAGCAGAATATTTCAGATGTTGTCTGAACATGAATTACTTTCTGCTTCCCGTTTTCCACTGCAGAGGGCACTAAATCTAGGCATGGAAAAGACTTTTTACATCTTATCAAGGGCTACAGCTGAACAGACCACTTTGTGCTGTTGGCACTGAACAGATCATGGTGACTTATGCCACACAGAGAACACAGGAGGTGAACAGCAGACTGGAAAGGATATGAAACCCAACAATAAGAATACCTATAACTATTACACCGAAAGGGTTCAGTGAGAAACTGTAAAAAGAGTACACAAAATGAGCAGATTAAAAGCTCTATGTCTAAAAAACCATCATCAGCTGCGTATCTTTAACATCCTCCCACGGGAAAAGAGGCTAGTTCCTAATAATCAAATACTGAAAGTTTTTAAAAGGTTTTTTTAGGCTTTTTGTTTTTTTTCTTTAAAATAAGATACTTTATTCGGTTAGTTCCTGTCTTCCAACATTCTCCCTTTCTGTAAAAATATGCCAAATTAACTGTCTCTATTCACAATGACACTCATGTTGTCCTATACACTGAAATTCTACTGGATTTGTATGTGATGTTATAAAACATTTCCTTCTCTACCCATCTCCTACCTGGAGTTGCTCAGGGAGTTTAGTTTCCCAAGCAGTACTTACTGCATGAGGGTGTTTATCCCACAGCATTTCTGGGAAGCTGTGCATATTCAACACATCAGTAACTGCAATCTGTTAAGGTTCTATCTAATCAGATGGTCTCCTGGTTATCTGCCTGCAATCCTGGCTCACTATCTCCCAGCAGTCCTTACACTCCCAGGGGAACTGCTCCAGATCATGGTGATCACAGCAACCCTCTGCCAAAATTAAGCAGCTCCTGAAGCACCTCCTCAGACAGCCCACACAACCAAAACTGTAACCATAGGTCTGGGTTTCATCACTCACTTTTAATAAGCAAAATGAAAAGACTGTTTCCTCAAAGGTTTTGTCAGAATACTACTCCAAGATATTTTGAAAGTGATCTGTTTACTAGTGATACAATTAAGCTCTCTAAGCTTTTCATACCTGGGCCTTTTTTTTTCTGCCTTTTTTTTCCCCATTGCAACATAAACAAGCCATAATCATTACTCATACCTCAAAATATTCAGTTGTGGTTTTTTAGTTAGCTTATTTTCTTTCCAGTAATTTAAAATAGAACATCGCAGTCCTGTATTTACATTGCATAAATCCTCAAAATACATATTAAATTTTGATTTCTAGACATAAAGTGCAACAATCTGTTCCATTTAAATATCTGCCTTTAAATGCCACTGAGAAGAGTAAATAACCCTGCTTTTGACAGCAGTAACAACTATGTTCTTTGGAAAGTTAGAGTGCACTTGTAATTATTAAGACAGACATGATTATACGGCACCTGAAAGAAATGCTGTGTTTGGAATACCACGGTAACAAGAGTAATCCTTAGTTACGGATATTCAGAAATTGCAGATGCCATTTGAGTTCACAGAGATCCCCAGATAACTAAGAGCAAGGCCTGCTGTGCAGGGACACTGTGTGGCTGGGGGAAGAGCACAGTCCTCGGGACGCGGCTGTTCCCGAACAGCAGCGACGAGGACTGGGCTGTGCAGGGAGGAAGGAGGTCAGGACACTTGCTCAAGGGGGTTTAGGGCCATTCTTTACATGCAATGAAAATCCTGTCCCTACACACGTGTGCACCTGACCTGGGAGTGATGCACCAGCTGAGCAGGACCACGGCACTGCTTCCCCTGCCTCCTCCAGCTCTGGCATGGGTCAGGCTTTCTGCTGCTGTCTAGGTCAGATAACCAAATGGTTGAGTACCCTCTGCCTCCCTCAGCAAGAGAGGTGGAGCTCAAGGACCTCTTCTCTCAGGAATCTTAGGTTTGCCCATTCCTAGTTCTGCTGGCTGTGTCTGCTTACTGACGCAGCAGATTAGTTTATCGGCCTCAGGAGACAGAGCTGGGTGACACTTTTAGCAGCTCCTCTGCCCTCTGGGGCGTGTGCTGGCAATGAACTCCCTGCCCTCTGCTCAAAGACTAGCCAGGGTTGAGTGCAGGTGAAAGCAGAGAGAAACCTCCACATAAAACCATCCCCTCCTCAAAATTCAGCCTGGATTTGTGCTCAGTGGTGGATCTTGTACCCAGCTTCTGCCTGCAGAAAGGCTGCTGCTTCCCAACTATTACAAAAGTTAGACTCCTACTTCAGGCCTTTGAAAAATCGACTTTTAAACAAGCTTGACAGCCACAGCCATCTCTGAACAGCAGTTCCCCATCAGGCTGAGGCACTCGGGGAGCTGGCTGAGGTTCCCGGCTCGCTCCTGCCTTCAGAGGTTTCGCTGAACAGCAGCGTTTTGTTTCCAGCCCACAAGAGCCCATAGAGACATGCCAGCTTAGAGGCAGCGCTAAACATCTCTCAAGGAGGGATCTGACATTTTCTTTTGTTCTCATTTCTATAGTATTTTCTCCTTCGAGAAGGTTATTTGAAGTTATCTGGTGCTGACATTTAGGGAAAATGTGAAACATGAATTGGAATAGCTGTTCATAGGTAGTGTTGCAGGGCAGGACAGCATGTCCCACTGCAGGGGCACTGGCCAGAATATGCCTAATTGTTCAAATGCTCCCACAGTTTCAATCTTTGCAGTGTTTTTCTCTCTCCCACACACAAATTAACACACAAGGACCAGTATAAGGGTGCTATGTTTTACCACAGAGATTTTTCTATCTAGAGCTCCATCATAAATCAGGGACATCTATCTCACTTTAGCAAAACAGTTTCGTGACCAAAAGGATGCTTACACATGCAAATCTTTCCTGTCACAATCACAAAAATTCCCCCAAATTCCCTACTTATAATTATCTCACTGCAAAAAATAACTCTAAAAAAAGGGAACATATTTTATAGCACTAATATTCTTGAATGAAAGTAGCATTTAATGCCATTACATTTATTCACTAATACTACTGTCTACAAAAACCTCACCACAATATGCCAAAACACTCAAGGAGTTACAGAATTCAGCACTACAGAGCTCCCCCTTCTCACTGAGAATGCCACGGTTGCTCCACAGGTCCATTAGCATTCAGAGCCCCACACAACCACAACTTCCAGGCACACAAGCACATGCTGAACAAATCAATGTAAATCTTATGGTCTGATTTCCCTAAATGCTCATTTTCCAAAGAATAATCAAAATCAAAAAGAGAAACCTGATCTTACCCTTCTGCAAAATCAGCAACAATTCAGAGCTTCAGAGTTTTCATTAAGATCACTTTGACCATATTTTTATCACTTAAACCAGAGATGTCTGTGTTATCACAACTTTTTTTAATGCAGAAAGAAACACCAGTGACTTCCACATAGAGGAAGAAAATACCAAGTGTTTATCTCCTTGTTAACATATGACAGCTGCTGAATTTCTACCCAGAAACCATTAAATATGATCAAATCTTTTAACGTCTGTTAACACAAGAATTGCCTGTCCATGTATTCAAGTTTACAAAAGCAGTCAGCAAGTTGGAGAAAAATAAAGCAGGAAAATTTCCTGTGGAAAACCCTGTTGCAGTGAGCAGAATTGAGCCTGCTTCACCAGGCAAACACCACTGAAGTGTTTACGCCATCGCATCCTATAAAAAATAGCAGATGTCTCATAGTCACATTCCTGAAGTGAAACTATTTGCCAAAATACCCTGAAAATTTACAGCGAGGATTTGTTAACACTGCAACTAGCCCCTCAACCCTCCAATATGCTTCCTTTTACTCCCCCCATGACAAAATAAGAAGAACTCCAAGAACATGGACATGCCACAGCATCCAAAACACCTCAGCACTTCTGCTTCAGCAGAGACTTTGGGCTAGTCTTGAGGTTTATTTATAAGCTCTCAGTAACCCTTGCTGCTGTGGTGAAAGGTCAGACTTTCCCACCTTCCTCCTCCTATATTTGCAAGATTGTCCGGGTTTATTTTGGGGAACTTCTGTGCTAACCCAGCTAATGTACAACCAGGGATGAGATGTAAACTCTCAGGGAAAGAACCACGACTTCTCCAAGAAAAATAACACATATTTTACACATAAAATCTTTGCACCGGGTCTGTAAAACCAACACTTAGCAAAAGCACCAAATTTGTGGCACAAGGATATTTCCAGGAGCATCAAGATTTTCTACACACGGGTTTTTGTCAGGATACAGTGTGATGCTGATACACATACCATTGCTACACACCAAAAAAAAGAAAACTCTTTTAGGAATGTGTTAAAATATTGACCATTTACATCAGCTCTTGCTATTTCATAAGAGAAAACCCAGAGAAAACATCAACCAGTGCCTTATGTACTTTATGTTGGCGGAAGGGCAAAGCATAGGATGAAGATGCAGCCAGGTCCCTTCTCTAAGCACAGAGTCCACCGCACCTTTTGAAAGGCACGTGGAGGGTTCCCAAGGCAGGGAGCCCCTTCTCCCAGGCTTTTTACCTCTCTGCCAACCCACAAGTCTCACTGTGCCCTAGAAATCCTCACCGGTCAGAGACTGTTCCGCTCCCAGCACGTTCCATTCTGCCGGAAGTTTCAGGTGTCGAAACGCCAAAGCCACTTTCTCGTCCAGGAAGTCCACGTCGGCCGCAGGGGGTCTCGACCGGTCCAAGAACCGCGTGAAGTTCAGCGCCTGCTGGTTGCCAGCACAGGTGGCCAGAAACTGGGCGGCATCGTAGGCTTCATCCTGGACAAACTGGAAACTCTCTTCTGCCACAACCAGAACGGGGTGACCTTCTCTGGAGGCACAAAGTGCCACCTTCACTGTCTCACAACAGTCATGGCCTGCGGAATAAAACCCAGAGAAATTTAAAAAAAATAAAAAGAAAAAGGGCATGTGCTGAAGAAGCAGAACTGGCCAACTCCTGTGACACACATAGTTTGCATTAAATCGAGTAAGACCAAGGGTCACAACTCTAAAAATAATACTATCTCAGGAATTTATATGCATCATCAAAGAAAAGTATTTCCCATAGACTTTAAAAGGAAAAGATGTGTAACTCTTCTCTGTCCCAATATAAACCAAGAATTATTAGTCACCTTTATCTGACCAGGCTATTTATGATCCATGACAAGTAAACTTAAGAGTGTAGAGTAATTCCAGTGAAGATTTTGCTAACGTACCAAAAGCCAGATTATATGGTCAAATTTTTGCTTCCCAGCTCCACAGGTCTCTGGTGACTCGTCAGAAACTAGAATCAGAGTGCTGCAAAACTACATACTACAAATGCTGTCAGAACACTTGGCTTGTACTGAAAACATTGGAATTTCACCTAAAACAAAGACCTAAATGGCTACCAAAGCAAAACCTGCCCGAGCTTGCCCAGTGCTCACTCACTGCTGCACCTGCTCCTTTTGTTTGGGTTCACATGACAAAACTAAAACTAAGTTGCTTCTGCTAAATAAAAACATGGAAATGAGCACTTTCCATATTTACAAAACAAAAAAGTTGGAAGTCGGATAACTTTATTCATTTAGAGCAGGGGGACCAGGAGAAAGGAGGCCCTGGCATGGCAGCAATTTCATTGACTCAGAAACTCAAAAAAACCCCCACCCCAAATCCAAAACCCACAACACCTTTTTGCAATTTTAAAAGGAAAAATATACTATGTGTCCAACACAGCCAGCACTTGTAATTGTCAGACATGGCCCTTCAATAATAAGGTTTGTGTTTCAAGTTCACTATGTGGCACAGTTTCTTGTTCCAGCCTCAGACTGACGTCATGGCTGTTTTTGCCAGAACAGCATGGACCCTGCACTAATTACTGGAAAAGCTTCTTTCTGCCCATGACCTCAGCATACTACCACATTCATGCAACCCTGCTTAATTAAATACAAAATGACGATTTATTTTTAAAGGCTTGAAAATTCAATTTAAGCCCCTATTTGTGGTCAGTGGGAAAGTTTCCTTCGTCTGTCAGGGCCCTGTGCTGTTGATTTCCCTGACAAAAGGGAAAATATGTCCCTAATCTTCATGGTCTTTCAGCCAAACTCACAAATCTGTTCTGAGGCTTTTGGCATCTGTACAGGTTTTGTGTGCTGAAAGAGGCGATCCTGAAGTTAATTGAAAAGGTCAAAACTGCTATTAGGACACTGTGGGGAGCACCAAAATTATCAGAGCTGAGGCTGCGTGGCTGCCTAAGAAGAGCAAATGCAGCTGGAAAGGTATCAAAGGCAAGTGTAGACGGGGAAGAAAACACGCATGGATGTTGCTGTAACAGCTCAGCACCTGAACCAGGAGGCTCTGACGCTGAAAGGTGAGAAAATTTCCTTCCTCCCAGCACCAGGCACCTATTAGCAAGAGGATGATGTGAAAACTGAAGGCACAGGTTTACTACTATGGATGTTTTACAAAAGAGAATAAGGGCAGGGAAGACCTACTTCTACTGCTCTTGGAAATACTGCACAGGTGTCCTAATGCATCACTGTTCAATGGGTGGGCAGGGAACTCAGCAGCTCAGGTGAAACCCATTCACAAACCCTGCTCGAGCCCACAGTAGAAGCCTCAAATGTTCAAGGGAGAAGTGGGGGGACAGTACAACTTTGGGGGAACTTGCCTTTAATGCCACTGAGAACTGCACATCACTCCCCCTACACCTTCTTGCTGATCTTCCTAAAAACATCCAAATATGGAGCAGGTAAGACATCAGTTTTATCCACAGCCCCCACAAAGCAGTGAGTTATGCACGCTCTGACAAGGCCATGCCAGCCTTTGGAACTCACTCAAGTGCTGAGAGCTGGGCTCTCCCTAAGGCAGAGCAGTGGAAGTTTGTTAGAATGAGGAGTTAAAAAAAAAAAAACAAACAGCAAACCACCATAATAAAAGATTCCTTAATAGCATGAGAACAGCTAACCCTTTGATTTTTTTTTTTTAACTTTTTTTATAACTGTTTTCTGTCTATTCCCATAAGAATCCCATCTGCAAAATAACCTACAATACTGTTACTCTGCCAGAAAGTCAATGGACTTTCAGGATTGAAGAGACAGGCAAAAATGGCCCATGAGCTGCTACAGAGAAACAATTTGGGACAGTCACTTCCCTGCCACAAAGCCAAATGACACTTCTGTGGGATAGCAAAAGCTCCTCCATCGAGACATCAACTAGAGAAACATCATGGATACAAAAAGTTCCCCTGGATAGAGAGGTTAAACACCAGATGCAAAACGCAACACAAGGGAAGGTGACAAAAAGACCACGTCCTGACCTGTAGCCAAAAAGGATTCTCTTGAAACTTCCCCAGACACCAAATGCAGTCTAGAGGAGGAGGTGACAGACCTGAGGATCCATTTTCATCCAACAGGATCAAACAAGCACCGTGCTAAACCCTGGGGAATGTTCTTCGAAAGGGCAGCCACTCACAAGGCTTTGATGTTCTGCTTCCTCACATCTGAGATGATGTCAGACTCGGGGGTAAGAATCTGGGACAGATTCTGACTTCTGGCAAACAGTTCAAAAAAGAGGAGCCAGTATGTAAAAGGAGCAGCCAATACTAGAAAGATTGCTCAAGAGGTCTCTGGCCCCCCTGCTTTGAAACCGCTACAGGAACAGTGTGAGGAAATATGTCCCCAGTACATGAACTTTCTGAAAGAACCATTGGTGGGGCAAGGCTTCTCTCCACATCAAACACCCAATGGCCGGACAAATACCTGAATTTCAATAACCCTTTTCCCAAGCATTAGCAAAAGTGAGGAAAGCTTTGTGGCACTCTCAGGAGATAAGTGGTTATCATCTGTAAAAACAGCTAAAATCTGTTTTTACAAGGTTAAGTAACTTGTCCAAGATCACAAAGAACTCCAGGCAGTACCACAGCAGACACTATTGCTCTTGTTCATCACCTTCCGGCTCTGGCTGGCAATCAGCAGGGCTTTCTCCTAACATGGGTCAAACACCAAGTTATGCACTTTACTAGCATCATGGTGGTTGGTAGACTGCAACAACCTCATTTACATCCTCAGATGTGGAACAGAAAAATGTCTGAATCATTAAAAAGGTGGGAAAAAAAACCCAGGTGTGTCAGTGAGCTGGTTTTGGCTGGAATAACGCTAATTTTCTTTGTAGTAGCCAGCGTGGGGCTGTGTTTTGGATTTGTGCTCGAAACAGCTGATAGTTCAAGGATGTTTTCATTCCTGCTGAGCAGAACTTACACAGAATCAAGGCCTTTTCTGCTCCTACCCCCACCCCACCAGAGAGGAGAATGGGGTGCATAAGCAGTTGGGAGGGGACATGGTCAGGACAGCTGAGCTCAGCTGACCTCAGGAATATCCCAGACCAGATTAGCTTCATGGTCAGTGTATAGAGCTGGAGGAAGGAGAGGAAAGGGAGACAAGTGGAGTGATGGTGTTTGCCCTCCCAAGTCACCATTACAGGTGATGGAGCCCTGCCTGCCCACGGGAAGTGGTGACCAAATTCCTTGTTTTGCTTTGCTTGCACATGGCTTTTGATTTACCCATTAACCTGTCTTTACCTCAATCCACAAGATTTTTCACTTTTACTCTTTAAACTCTCTTCCCCATCCTACCAGAGGGGAGCACGCAGCTGTGGGGGGGCTTAGTTGCTGGCTGGGGTTAAACCATGACACTCAGGAAGACAGACAAAGCTTATTTCAATAGGTTGGCATTCTGGTAGGCCGAAAACACATTAACTGAATAACTCACACAGGTGAGTGCACCCCAGAGAAGGCACGAGAAATCTCAGTGCTTTATTTAGGCAAGCAGGTTCACAATGTCACCCAGCAGCCCTCCTAATTGCCAGTATTCTCCAGAAATCAGGCCCTTTGGCCAAAATAGCAATCACAAGCAAATGATGAAATCGTGAACATCGTCACGCTGGTGCCACCCAGCAGTAACCAAGTTTGAATTTTAACTCTTTGGACAAACAAGAGTGTTTCTTCCTAGCTGACACATCAGACTGCACAGAATAACATCATGTGTATGACAAAAAGTGTTTTTCACACTTTTTTTTTGCCACAGTATGAGATGTGGTCATTTATACACTGGCTTGACTGATAAAATTTAAATAACCCACTCCTGAACTCTTGCAGGATTGCATTTTATCCAGTTTCTCTTCCTGCTCCTCAGTTACTTTAAATCTAGCTTGGAAACAATTCACAACTTGGACCTGATTTGAGAAGTGCCAACATATTGCAGGAAAAATACAAATATTAAAAAACTATTTCAGTCTATGCAGAGACGGCTGCAGCAACTAATTCTGCTGCGATAAAGCGATTTCCTCACCTTCATGTAAAACCACGCTTTAAAAATTATTTTTCAAAGGAGACAATAACTCTTGAACTAAATAATTTCTTACTGGGAATGAATGGGAACACTTAATGAAGCTTGCTTTGGGGAAAATACAAGAATGAAAAATGAAGACATGGTGTTCTGGTCTGACTGTACTTAGCCCTGAAGAGATGAGATGCATTCGCGTGATAACACAACCTCCTCTACATGATAACAATGCAGAACAACGAGCAGGAGAAAAGGTGGAGAGTTCTGAGCTGTAACTCATTAGCAGACAAGTTAATGTACAGCTTAGACCTGTCCATCTAATCAGTACCTGTGCCAGTGCTGTGGGGTGTGGTTAAAAGGGCAGAACTCTTCTGACTTTTTCTTGTTAAACAAGGCCCACATGGAGACAAAACACCCCTACACAGAACTATACTAAAAGATGATTTCATTTCCTACTCCTCCAATAGTGGAAATCCTGTCCAAACCTCCTATTTTCAGAATTCACATTGGAGCTATTAAACAATAGGCCTCCAGCCTGGGCAGCTATTTAAAGCCCT